AATTTTTTTGAGCATTTTAAAAAAATCATTTTCTTATAAATACAAGTATTCTACTTAAAAAACATACATTTATTCATTTGCATGCTATTTCCTGAGCTTCTCAATTAAGTTCAACGATTTAAAAAAAAATTAGGAAAACAATTTTTTTGTCAGATTAGGCGAATCCCTCTAGATAATCGTCAGATTATGAGACAGCACGTCTAGAACATAAAGATGAACGATATATATCGTAATCTGACGCGCTTGAGTATTTCATTGAGTATTAGAAAATCTGACGCGCTCGTTTAAATTGTTTTTCTTTTCACTTTTAACCCTTACGTACAACCCCCCGCATCATGCAAACGATCATATTAACACACGAACATTATTAAAAATACGTAGGACATTGATGCTATCAATATCTGACGCGCTCGAGTATGTCCATGCAACAGTATTTTTTTACATATTCAAAAATCTATAGCCGCTTCCTCCACCGATTGAAAGTTATATATCATATAACATTTTTTTCTTATCATCTAAGCTTTGCAACCTAATATGTCTTTATGACGCTCGAGTAAATCCCCATTTTGCATCGTGGGCTCCCCTATTAGAAGAACTACTCATAAAAAAACTGTGAATTCGAAACTCTGAATAAATATTTTTTGTTTTCTGTAGAGCGTTTTCATCATTACTGATTGAATAGCTCTGAAAGCTCAGGTACTTTTCTTATATTTGATATTTTTTCAGGACCATGTTGATCATCGTTTATTTTAAATTAGTTTCTGGATATAATAATGGTCTACGATAAGGAACATCTGATCTGTTATTGGGAGACACGCCCTGGAGCAATGATTCATTGAATATGTTCAACTTTCTAAATGCGATGAGATATATGTTTAAAATATGTTTTTTTCGTTAACCACCTGTTGCCCCCTCACGAACGATAACCCTCAGATATACAAGCTTCTGCGAGCTATGGACTGAGATCTTCCCTTTCAATGTGCGATTACTAACACGGGTTAGAATTAACGTAGTGAAGATTTATCGTTCGGCCGTCAAGCTTTAACCACCGTTCCACATAGAGGTAAACTGAATGAGTAGAACGAACCACTCGCTAACCAACCATATATCGTCTCTGATACTTACAGAATATCGAATGTGCATTACAGTTTATCACAACATAAAACATTCTGAACCGTATGTACGTGCATGGTAATTACTCACATACGAGTATTACTAAACATATTGATTTGAAATTCACATTCACATACTTTCAAGTACCAATTCCCATGAATGATCGCTTGTTGTGATTGAATGTTGACCATTAACTAGTTTGGGATCAGATAGTCACTCAATATTTAATTTTCATACCTAAATGGGGACAATTTCCTGTAATATCTCATAATCTGTTCCTTTTCGGCTTAACTCCTTGAAAATGGCAATACAGCAATAGCGATAACTAACAGAAGACCAATAAAGAACCTAGGATACACGTGGTAACCCTTTAAATCTCTTTAAACTGGTGAACGCATTCGTCTTCTTCAAAATAGTCTC